GCGGCGCTGCGCGCTGCCGGCAGAGTGGAAGGAGGCGCAGAGAAAGAGGGGTGGGAAGAAGTGGTCCCGGCATATTCCATTTTCAGTTAGTTGGGTAGGCCATTTTTAGATAGTTCGACGATGGAATCTCTTTTTCTCAGCGCGTAATTTTAATGAGAATAAATGACGGTATATGGCGACTACAAAATTCACAACTCTTATGACAAATTGGAAGGTAGGCCAGATCATAGTGCGTGGAGGTGGGAATAGATTCTGCCGGTAGTCGATATCAGTAGGTGGAAACAAATATTAGTGGGAATATAAACCATGTCGAGATGTATGCAGGTGGGAGAAGATTCTGTTGGTAGTTGGGATCACCAGGCAGCAGCAAACGGGTACTGAAAGATGAGATACGGCGTGAGAAGATTTTGCTGAAAGTCAAGTTCAGTAGCAAATATTTACCGCGCATAGGAGACTTTTGGATTGCAAAGGTAGTATAAGGAAAAACAAGATAATTGTAATATACAAGCCAATGACGGACGTTTCATTTGTAAATTTGTATTGGGCGTTGATGATTTTGAAAATGTGTTTTGAACATGTCTGTCAATACGATAGCAATCATTTTCGGAATATAGTTGTACAAAAACGAATTAGTCATATATTAGTCAATTTGATGATGAACGCTTTTTCAAGAGCGAAATATGTTTGTGTGGAATACTATTTTCAATTTATTTTCTCCTGCTTAGCCCGTGCAAATCGGGGGCTTGGGACAGAATACATGTCACAATATTTCGCAATGTACATCATTGGCCATGTTTTTGTTCGGCATTCAATAGTTTTTGCATCAATGATCAAGTGACAATAGAAAAGTAGATGACAACAATTATTTATAATTTTATTGGAGGCTTGAATTTGTCTTCTGTGAAGTGGGATCGGCGACATAAATATTCATCTCCTGTTCACTTGAAAGTAGAGATTGCGAACAAACAGAAGAAGAAAAGGGAAAATGCTCATACATTTATGAACTTTGCTTATGTTATAATCATTGGGAGTTATTAATGGATTTGATTACTAGGAATAAGTCACGATGTTATTGTTTTTCATTCCTTTATTTTGCGGTACCTACTATGGATATAAGTTAGATTTTGCAGTATTTTCCCACATTGGGCAGGTCTGTGTCATTGATGGTTATACAATATAATCATATAAGAGTATTCCTGTTTCAGTTGGCGGATTTAGTACTAATTAATGGTTAGAGCTGAGAGAGTTAAGGAGCCATAAATTGAATATGTGATTTCCAAGTGTTTTTTTTTAAAAGCAATTTCTGTATAATTCACGGCGGGGGTTGTATTCTAACCAAGGGATACTAATATTGTCCAATTTTCTTCGTATATGAATGTCACCAATTCTAATTATCTTATAAGACTTTTGATTCGATAGCATAAAGGATCTGCAGAGCATAACTAGAAATAAATTCTTGTTTACCAATTGTGCTGTATAACATTTGGAGAGCTTCAACTGTCTTATCGTCAGGTATTGTGTGTTTAATGTTCAATCTAAAACATAAAAAGGAGAATATAAAATAAAAACAGTATATTATTTCAAATGTGTGATATAATTTTTACATTAGACGCAAGTTATGATTAAATAATAGCAATTTTTTGTCTTAATATTAATCATTGAACACACAGTATGTGATGGTGAGATCATAGAAGGTTTAGAAATTATTGATGTGCAATAAATGATAATATTGAGTTAAAGTTTGTTTGTTATTAAACCGACGGTACGAAAAATGTATTAATAATATTTTTACGACATAAATGGGAATGCAATGTGGGACAAAGGATGATGCTTGTATATGTAGAGAACAACCTGGCGCACAAGGGAGATTTGAGAGTTAGTCTTGCGACAACACCAAAAACTGTCTCGCATTCTTTATGCCTTTCTCAATTTCAAACATTCAGAGAAAAAAAATCGACCCTGTGTCACTTTTAAATGAATATTTCGCACTTTCGTACAAAAAAGTAAAATAACTAGTGGATTTACTATAGCACGTTCTTTCGCACCACAATAACGGTTAAGTAAAATTATATTATCCCAATTTCTGTCGATGTTAACCATAATCTCAACCATGTTTTGTAAAACTCATTACTAATAGTAGCACATTAGGCGCAAAAACGTAAGCTAATATTGTCCGAATAATATTTCTGTTTACTTAACAGCTAGCAGCTGACAGAGGAGAGAGGGTTCCGTTATCCATCCACTCTTCAAATTCTGATGTCACAGCAGAGTTGCTGAAGCTTATGAAGAAAGAATTACATCTTACAGCAAAAAGTAACTGAACAGAGAAGAGAACAATTTGTCCCCATTACTTGTTTGGCTATGCGTTGTGAGTGCGGTTCTGTGTCGTCTACTGTTATGTGTTATCACGATTTGTTTCTCGCAACTGTTGTGATTTGATGCAAGAACGACGTATCACGAAAAACACGACCACGTATCTGCTGCCCGAGTAAGTGGCAACATTGCTCAACCCCAGCAGTCAAGTAGACAGATGTTCTATTCTGACAATACATAAACACATATTTGGTCAATCTAAAACACAGTTTCATTTACCCCAAAACACCATCCCACAATGAGAACTTGTTCTGAGAATTTCTAACTACCCTGATGTGGTTTTTCCGTTGTTCTGTTTCAACCTGAAACCTCCATACAGATTCTAGCAAACGAAGTGCAGGGTATTCGAATCTGAAATTTCAAAGCCTTGCAAAATTGTGCTAGAATAATCATATTTTAAAAATTACACATGATCTTTTTTTAAAGAACTGACTTTTTAAAACAAATTTCATTTAACATAAAATCTCTATCATCAATGTAATTTGGAATGCTACTTTTTATAATTTAAAAAATACAGTTTGCCGAAAATGAGACCAGCGCCCGTTTTATGTACCGATCTTTGTTACATACAAGGAAAACAAATAAAAAATTGGTTCCTTTTGTGAGGCAATAATAATTTAAAATTGACTATGTTTCACGCAAAAACGACTCATATTTTCAAAAAATTGAAGGTGAATTTATATAAAATTTGTTTTTGATGAACATATTTCATTATGAAAAATGTTATATTCATTATTGTAGTTGTAGTAAGACGCCAAAAAAATGAACTTTTACAATATTCAAGAATTCAGGGAGTTCTACGTAAATGCGATTTCCATCATTTTAAGCGTATTTTGCTTTAATGGAGAAAAATACTTTTTTCAAAATTGGAAGAATTTTTGAGAAAATTTTGAAAATATTACTGAGTCTGTAAAGTTTAGCTGCTAGTCCGTTGTTCACAAACAGGCGGACGGACTGGTGTTATGCTGTAATGCAATTTTTCGGTATTAAGGACCACCAAAATGGATTTCGATTACAGAACGTATTAAAGACGAAGACTTTTCAAATTTTCGAAGCTTAAGAGCCTTTAATGAAAATCTGCCTTGCGACATTTTTATAAGCGTAGCTTCTACCATTCTAGGAAAAACGTAAAGGAAAATTGGGAGTCATTTATGAGAAAATTTATAAAACGACTTTAGTCATTCCTGTATAGTGTCCCCCAAAATCAAAAATCCGTTTCAAATTCATGGATAGACGGACATACGATGGACAGGTATTTTGTCATAAACCAAGTTTTCGCTATCGAGGACCCACTATACATAGATTCTTCCTACACAGCGTAATAGAGAGAGTTATTTACTCCGCATATGTGCAAGAATTTTTCCCTATCTGAGACTCACAACACGCGTTTTTCTGTCAATCACACATATTTGCTTCAACATTACAATATTTTCTCTGCAATACGTAAGTAGTGTCCTAGAAGCTAAGAAATGAAAACATTTTTCTTACTGATAGAAAACATTAATGAATAAAATAAACTCTGAGCTTATTTATTTCAGTTAGATTGTAACAGATTTCAATTTCCACGTCTTCACTGCCGACGGGAACGTTATGTTCAGGAAGCTGCTTCTAGTTAAATAGGGCGATTCGCTCTGAGGAATTGTTGTGGTGATGCGTGCAGGTCAATTCAAGGTATCGATTCTACTACGCTAATCATTTTAATACGTTTTTCAATGTTGCCGGTGTCAAGCACTGCATAAGTCAATAGTTGTCTATCTTGGGGTGAAGGGCGAAGTATTTCTCGTACGAGAATCACACTACATTGACATGCCGTTCGCCGTTCAGAGCGCGTTATACCAGGACTTATCCCTTAATCTTATTTCTTATTCCTATTATGATTAAATTTTGAAATGCAATGAGGAAACGCAATAAACAGGGTTCCGACTTTTTTTTTAGTTTCAAATAATTATATTTCATAACATTACAACAGAATGTGTGCGTACTCTGCAGTAAAAAGTATAAGTGTTTCAGCAAAAGACCTGGACCAGCGTAGTATCAGAATGTTTAAAAGAATTGGTATGAATAAACCTCTCCAACTTCAAACCATAAGGATACAAGACTTACAATGAAACGTGTCACTGTTTCAAAAACTCCGTATTTCGCGTTAGGTTATTGGGTTGTTAGAAGTCACTCCTTGTGTGAAAATATATTTTGATTCTGGTTGATGTAAAAACTATGAAATGATAGACATTACTATACTGCACTAATTAGATTATACTGTTATACTTTGTAAAAAGATAAAAAAAAAACAAATTCATCGCAAACCCTTTTACTTGTGCAAACTCATATTGAAGGTACCTACCTGAAAGAAGAAAAATACATAATCGATGAATGCCGGTGAGAGAAAATAATAATTTATCTCTAGTGTGTTTAGAGTAAGTTACACCCTATTCGCAATTTCAAATTAAGATATAATTTACATTTAATGGAATATGACGCTTCTTTTCCAAATAACAACTTCAATGCAGGAAATTAAAAACTTTTAGATGGGAAAGAGAGGGTACATCATGCAATGCAATTCGAGACTTACGCAAAGGTGGCCTACACATTTCTAAAATCAATAATTCCATACCATCTCCATTTAAAAAAATGGTTATATTTTTCTCCTACCCAACAATCATTGATGTCATCCCAATTACATTATATGCTCACAGAAAAAGAAACCTTTCTTGATTTTTTTTCAAAAAAGGGTATCTATCACAAATTCACAATACCATATACAATATATATGATTTTTCTACAATTTATGTTATCGTAAACCTGTTTAACGCCATTGCATGACATTTATAAAACATAGTTGATTTGGGTTTAAATCACTGTCTAGTGCATGTTCCATATATTTATTTCTTATCAACAAACATTTTCGCGCACACATGAATGACACTGACTTATATGCCTTATAATTTTATGATTTATTTTTATATATAGTTTAGATTAATATAGTGATTAGACATTTAATCAATCGCTGTTTAGATGGAAATTACATCTACTTCAAACAAAGCGACACTTGATTACTGAAATACCAACAAGTTTTAAAATTCATCTTTCAATATTTAAAAATTTGTAATTATAATTCTCTTTAAGATTCATGATTATTTTTATGTGGAGGCAAATATTTAGTTCAACATAGACGTAAATAGCTTTACAGTAAGATACTGGGTATCGTTTTGCATTCTAAGATACAACAATGCATTTACCATATATTTGAAGGTACCCATGAAAGGAATTGTAGGTCTTTTTCGTATTTGCTTTGTTTTTTCACACAAATATATATTTGGGACCTAGATCCATTGGAGCAACATATTAGCACTCACCTATTCCTAATCATCGCATAGTCTTTGATCTGCATTGCTATCTGTTTGGTGGGATTCGACGAATATAAAACACGAAAAAGCTTTAGAGATAAAGGTCAAATTGAGTAATATCAGGAAATGCTTTTACGGTAATAAAATATTTATGAGTGGTTTACCATTAACTCAACCTGAAGATGATACATTTCACAGATGACAACACAAACCAAAGAGCTCAGTAAAGTAGTAGAACAACATCCTTTATAAAATACACATGTTTGTGCGTAACTACAGGATGATGGTCTTTGGAAACATTTTCCAGAATGTTATCTTTTAAAAATAATCAAAGGATCCAGACAACACAACAAACAACAGCATAACAACATCAGTAGACTCATGAACTTCTAACAGCTCTATATACTATTGACTATGACATCAACATAATTCTAAACAGACTGCAAACAATTCAAAAGATGGCTCTACGATATATATCTAATGCCATATCACACTTACATTTATAGATTACGCTACGAAGAAATAATTTTACCCAAAACAATTTGATTTTATTTTACAAAATATCTTGCTATTTCTATGGACTCAAATGTCAGCAGAACTGCAATACAAATGTACAATATATATAAAAATGTTTTATATGACCAACACAAGTGCGGGATTACCTTAGTGACGCAATGAATACAAATAAGAAGTGTATAATGGTGTCTCATTTCTCTGAGAGTATCTTTCTGAAGGCGAGATGACCACATTCATCACATTAACTAAAGCAATAAATGTAGTCACCTTTTGGATGGACCGTCATTTTTAATAGCTTTCTTTTCGACATTTTTAGACGTCAAGAACCTCCACTTCAGGGGCTCGCAACACGAGACCCATTCATCAAAGCAAAAATAATTCAGTTTTCTAGTTACACACGAATTAATGCTGCCAAATTGTCTGCATTATACTTATTTCAAGTTTCCTTCTAAACTTTGCAACTAATGTGTAAAAACCATTATCAATGTTAACTCGAGATTCCGGACTAAATTTCCAAGCTGAAGCAGCAGAAACGAACGAATCAATGACAAATTCACATCAAGCACACACATACTAAATTGCATTTCTAATCCTTTCTGTGCTCTATTCGTATACGGCCACCCCATTCTAATGAGAATATCTCCAGAATAAAATATTTTCAGCTTATGATTTGCTGCTGAACAGCAACTTTCTTTTCAGAAGTTTTTTTTCTAGGTTTAACTCTGCAAACACTGACATTATATTTCAACAATGACGGTCCACGGCTGATAATGCTTAGTTATGAGTTCATACTTAAATCAATCGCCACAGTACTTCGCGCGATCGTATTTTGAATTTACTCACTACTCGAGAGAGTTTAGTGCCACAAATAATAACAACTTGGCAGTCTGTTCCAATCTGCAAGGCCGTCGTCAGTAGCGTAACTGTCGGGAAGAGAGCTTTGAGGTTCACGCCGTTGATTGAACGACGTATTTGGTGTTTCAGGTGTCCTTGGGCATCAAAGATACAACTAGGGCTTCAGAAGGTAAAAAGACAGCATTGCTTTGAGTCTAAATGCGTTCAATAATCAGACTATTAAATCCGTGCTACGTTATAAGACCTGCTTTGGTACTCAGTTGCAGCCTTTACTCGTCTGAAAATCGTATCATATCAAAGTGTGCGATTCGAGAATAATACTATGCAGCGACGCGTATGTAATGATGTATTAAAGGAGCCAATTCCTTCTGGGTACGCTACTGACTCACAAAAAGGCAATGAGGCATGTCTTAAAAGAACCCTTTCAAGCGCACTAATCAAAATTTGTTAATTACGCGCGCCATCTAAATCAGAAACAAGAAATATTGTTCAGTAAAAAACTAATACAATCTGCCCGTAGACCTAACTAAACCATTTAATTTAAAAACGGAAGACTTGAGTTATCTGCTGTTTGCTTCCACATCACTTCAGCCATGAGCTTGGAAAATACATTCAACGTTGCATTGTATTCAATGGTGGGAAATTTGGTTCTTATTGTAGCGTCTTCACCGAAATCACGATAATGAATGTACACAAAATGTTTCAAACAAATTATATTAATGACGTAATAATTCTTGTTTTTTCACTTCAAAGCACAAATATTACAGATTCAACTTGTGTGACACTGGCAAAATGCCCACAACACATCCTACCAAGAGTCTGCCTATATTTAATTACATAGTTCAAAGGTTGTGATATAGGCGTGATTCTTATGAAATTGCATTATACATATTTAGACAAAGGTGTGTGATATAATGTATAATAAAAATGTGAAGGAAAGAATTTTATTTCGTTAATAACAAGAGGAACAATGAAAATAGCGCTTTTGTAGTATTAAGCATTCAATTTAACGATATCCAAGAACCAAAGTAGTTCGACTACTCGAAAAATGAAACGAACATTTTACTTCACCAAACACACATAGTAGAATAATAAACTCACGTATTTCTCATCTGAATTTGGTGATCCAATAGATCAACGAAACACCAAGTATAAATATCTCGATTATGAAATACTCAACATACTTCTGAATTTCGAAACATCCTGAGATCCAACGCCCAGCTACTTGACCAGTAAGGTGTATAAAAATTTCCGCAACTCCACCAAACCTATATTAGTAGACTACTAAACTTGCGCTATGCAAAATACTCCCACGTGCGCACATGCATGTGGCGGACTGGGAACGATGTACACCTCTTCTGAAAGGCATCACTTGCTTCCTAAGAGCTTGCTCATAAGATGGTGCCAGATGGAATAGTATTGCGTTTGACAAAGCCGGGAAATTCTAGTCATTTCTCGTAAAGCTATCGCCAGCGATAGCAATATTCTCTAAAGACTTTTAAGCATTGCTGTGTAAATTTGTTGCAATATCTAAAGGTATTTCTTACTTGTATCAACATTTTGTGTTTAAACATTAAATAACATTTATAGGATATTTTGCACTATAAGTATAGATTGGCTTGATTGTAACGGTGCTTTTTAATGCATATGCACTCGAAGTAACTTTTATATTAGCTTAATACCCTGCGTTTAGAGAAAATACAGTTCTTATAGGTAATGGTGATATATTTCGTTTCAGAATATACATTCTAAAATCCACTTTTTAACGCTATGAATTAGAAATTCATGCATGGAATAATTAAAATATAAAATTCTTTACTTAGCGAAATATTCTTTAAAATTGAAACCGACATATTTAAGAAATATGTACAAGTGTTTCATTGATGTATTTCATATTGACAATTACAATAGAATTGAAATATTTCAGTTTTGTCACTTTTCTAATACTCATTTTCGTGTAATCTAGACATATTCTGGGGGATTTGCTGTAGGAAAAATACCCTTCAGAAACAAGCAGGATCTAAGAGTCCCACATTCAGTACAATACCAGCACACATACTTGCGTTAAGCACACGCGCTCGAAACTCCACGCATCCTAATCGGGATTTATGTCTTAGGTACGTCGTCTTACACGCGATCTAGCCTCTGATTAAGAATTGAACTCACACGCACTTCTTAAGGTCACGATTCATCTATTTATTCACCCAATCTTACACCTTGCGTCTCACACTGCCTAATGTGTCAAAACATTGCTTCCTACACAACGTAATTGATAACCATGCAGCTTAATGTGACTTCAGAGTCACCCACTGAAATCACAATCGTTCCGTGAAACTTTCAATCAGAAAGTAGAACACTAAATAAATTAACAATAAATACATGAGTATTTTACATAAAAGATGTTTGTCACATCGGTAATCACGAGAAAATATATATTCGATTTCATTATCGAATTTCCTCCGGTAGTTCACAATTTCTGGTGTCAATTTGTATTGTAAATGACATTGGTTAATAAGTCGATTGTTAGAAATATCTGTATTAATTTTATCTTGAAGAACATGAGAAACAATATTTTATACGAAAAATTGGTGTCTTTTTCCTTATCACAGAAAAGTCTTTCATGACCATTTCTCAGACTCATTCAGCAGAAGGAATACAAGTCTAATAATGAATCTTATTAGAGCTACTCATCAAAAACTAAATTTGATACTGTAAATAATTTTCTTATAAACGCGGTGTTCTATGCCGTATATTTTATTCCTGATCGAATATTTATTTTCAAACGGTATGCGATAATCGTGTGATAGTAAGATAGTTTTCGCCGGTGAAATACGCGGGTAAATATGGATGGCGTTTCAAAAGTGAATAATGCATTATTGCAGAACCGTCTTTCACACCAGCCCACGGTTACGACAGAGCTCAATCATTTCAGTGGGTGCCCATGTAAAGCAGCTGCCAACCCTGATTTTCGCGTGCCAACCACGCCGTCTCTTCCTGGACTTGGTCCAAGAGAAACGTCTGCTTCACTAAGCGTTAAGTAATCTCTTATAGAAACTTCAAACAAGAACTGTCGATCTCAAAACGTAAAACACTCAATAATTAGGCAACAACTGGACGTCTTCTTGCTCAAATTGTAATATCACAAAATAAACCAATGGACGAATATTCTTGAGACCGCCTGGAGGTCACGAGTTATTTTTATGCTCCGAAACCCGGACGTAGACACGTCCTGGTGAACACTCGTATTCACAGCGTCACCGGGAGGGCACACTTAATACACACTTTGAACGGATGAGGACGTAGGGAACAACGAAAGCTCTACGCAGGACGCATTTCACGCTAGCAGCGCCAGAGCGCACCACAAGCGCCGGGGAATCCCCACCGCATGCTTCCATCTGACATCATCTTAACTAAAACACAACAAACTTATGGCTAATGGTCGTGTACGAGATAGATGCTTCTTAAAGACACAGAGAACAGACCACATATATAAGTCTAGGTATTCGAAGATATTACATCCCGGAGCGATGTGACATATACCGACGCTTTGCGTGGTACACTCGCTGCTGACTTTTGTCATTAAATGAGATGACCATAGACTCTTAATACAAAGCTCTTTTACATTCTAATGGATTTACACAAATCTGAATTACGTTTACGGTACCATAAATAATATTTGCAATGTTGGCATTCCTTTGATCAAGAATACGCATCATTTGCGCACACATATTGAATAGTTTATAAGTTACACTGCCATAGTATATTCGGCGCATGTTTTCTAAAGCCAATAATAAATAACAAAGTACATTAATAAAATTTTAATAATTCACATTCCCTGAATTTGTATTTTGAGAATTCAAAAAAAGTTATCACCAAGTGCAAACGCCATTGAACAGAAAAATTAGACGAATACATTAATTTTGAGAGAAAAAGTTGCAATAAATTCTCAGTTCCAATTAGCAACAAAAATTTTAAAAAATCTTAACAAGATTATTGTCTATATCTATCAACAATATCTGATTTACCTTTGCCATTGTTTTAAGTCAATGAATGTTATATAAATTATATAATACCTATAATACATCATGTGTTCACATGCATTTAAATAATTTCGCACAATCGTATCCGTATTAAAATTATACGTTCCCATTTCGTACACATCACGTATGAAATTCGTACGTATCTCAAAAAAATATTTGAATTACTCCATTAACACTTATTGAGTTCATAGAGCATATGCAATCAAACATCACTTATCAAAAGATAATATATTTTCATGATTTATTTGATGATCTAACGAATTTAAAAACGTGTAAATGAATAGTAATTTTTTATCGTGAGTATGCATATTATATGAAGAAATGATTGTGTATATATATATTTGTTGCATTAGTATTCAAATTTGTTAATTAAAATTGATTGAAAATTTGTATGTACAATACCTTGTTAAAGATTTGTTCTCCCTTGGACTTCTGCGTCTGAATGAAACTGATTGTTTTGCAACCGAGTGGTGAAACGAGAAACTCAAATGTTTTGGGCGCGACCGACGTCGAAGGGCGGACGGCGCAGGCGCAATGGCCGCCTCCTCTGATCCGCCCCCTCCTCTTCTCCCCCTTCTTCCTTCCCCTCCTCCTCTTGCTCCTCTTCCACCTCCTCTGATCGCCGGCGTCCTTCCTTGCTCCTCCCCGGACGCCCGGCGGTTACTCCTGGCCTCGCAACTAATTCTTGGAGGTCAGGATTGTGACGAATTCTGGGTACAGAAAGAGGCAAATAAATCAAAACAGTTAATTGATTGATTAGTGATTGTGACGAATTCTGAGTACAAAAAGAGACAATAAAATAAAAATAGTTGATTAATTAGTGATTGTGATGACTGACTACAGAAAGAGACAAATAAATCAAAATAGTTGATTGATTAGTGACTGACGAATTCTGGGTACAGAAAGAAACAAATAAATCAAAAAGAGTTGGTTGATTGATGGTTCCGGGAGATTCAACTGCAATGTCCCGTAAGTGTAGTTTTCAGTCCAGTAAGTTAGTATTGCTGACGTCAGAAGTAGCTCTGAGGAAGGCCACAAGATGTTGGCCGAAACGTCGGCTACTACGACAGAGACACGGCTGGTATCAGATAGCCTAGACAAAACAGACTCCGGCCGCAGAAGCCTACGTAATCAATACTTAAACGTATTTAAAAGAAGAAAAACTATTTGCTTATCTTTAAGAAACGTGTTTCAATAAAGTATCTGACAATTCAAAATGAAATAAATTAATAAATGAACAAGTACTAGATTTTTACCCTTTTGAAGGCGTTTGCTTCTGGCAATTGTTGTGTCTTTATTGACTTGTCGAAATTTATTGTCGAAAAATAATTGACCCACCGAAAAAATGATGAGCGGGAAAATATCAATTTCACAAATGAAAACCAGTCCTCAAATTGCAATGTTATATGAGTATACTAAAAAGTCATGTTTCAGAAATCCTTTTTATTCCTGACGTGTAAATTCTACAATAAAATAATTCAAGTTTAAGTCATGTTTATCAATATTTTATTTAAGTTATTGGCTTTCAATAACTTAATGATCAAGAGATCTACCGACTGTGAGGCAAGAAATCGAATTGAAGCAAAACAGACTAGTAGTAACTATTAGAATATATTACTAATTTGAGAAAATATTAGTTGAGTAGTAGTGAGCAAATAAGAAATCGTGATACTCCGTATATGGTTTCCTTATCCTGTTGCTGCTAGGCAGATTCAATTCTCTTGCGTACTTTACATAATTTACCCCTACTATTGAATTTAATTCTGTGCGGTGTTTGTTTTATTTTTACTTGCTAACATCCTATTTTTATATAGCTAATATTCTTTTTGTAAAGCTTAACCTATGATAATGGTTTTCCGATCGAAGATTCTTAAGACATTAAATTATAAAATACTTAAGCAATACCAGAAACTCATTAAATTCAGATTGATAATGATTTTGCTTCAATTCCATTACGTAATTACTACTGCGCTCGACATCTCACCTTCGTAGTTCACCATTCCGTCGCCGTCCAAGTCAGCTTCGCGGATCATGTCGTCCACCTCCTCGTCCGACAGCTTCTCTCCCAAGTTCGTCATGACGTGGCGAAGCTCCGTGGATGATATCAGCCCATCGTTGTTTTTGTCAAACACTCTGTGGACAAAAACAAAAAATCAGGCCTTGTCAAGGGAAAAATCGTGGAATTGAATCTGCCACGCCTTAAACAAATACTTTCCACAGAAAGTGAACATAGTTGCAATATTTGACTCCTCTATAGCAATCTTCCAGTGTAGTGTAACTGTTCATACTAAAAATTAAAAATACTAAGTATGAAAACCGTGAGCCTTTTAGATTAGTTGACAGAAGTCATCTACTAAATTGATCCACCTGCTCCCAAGGTGATTTCCTAAGAAAGATACAGAAGTTAACAAAAGAGGGGCTGGTAAATCCCGTTCACCAGACCGACGTTTTATTCTTTTATTCTTGGAAAGTTTCCGAAACACCACGACGTATTATGTCTTTCTTTCTATCAATCTCATCGTGTCCGGAGTATTTTTTGATACGTTTCGAAACTTTTAATAATCTGCATTTTTAAAAACATCATCAAAACTGCATTGTGTGATTATAATTAATCACGCGCCCTGGAAAGTAAGTAAAACAATTACGTGCAAGTACTTCTCAATGTCAGTAATGTACTCAAGCTATTTCTAAAACGTTTTCAGCTTTATTTTGGTTAAACAAATGTCGAAGAAAAAATTGGCTGCAAAGAGAGTACGTTTCATGCATTGCGAATGAAAGGAAATCTAAGTTGCCAGGTTGAAGCGTTTTATCCTTGTATGTAAACTACATTGACTTAGGGTAATTCAATGTGTAAAGAGTGAAAACGTATATGAAATTAATTAGGAATAGAAATAATGGTGATTCGTGCAATTATTTTATTTTCATCCTCATTTCATGATTGATTTTTGTATTAAGTATTATTCTTTTATGACGTTTTGCAAATCGGAAGTGTGAAGCCTCTGGTTTCTGAAGTGTTCGCTAATTTAGCAAGTGTTCTTACTACCTTCATTGCAACTATTTACCTCAAGATATTATCCACAAAGTATCTAATATACACTGTAGCGTATAAATGAATTTCGATGATTACAGAGATATACCAGGGATTCAAAATTCGAATTCTCGCTAATAAAAAAATTATAAATTCATAAAAATGAACACATCTAATTAAGTGTAAAAGAAACGTGAACGCTAAGGGCTCGGTTTTTCTGGGTACTCAATTAGGCCATCCCGAAACTGTAATATTTCTGTATTCAACTAAATTTTTGAACATCGAGCTGTGAGACAGAGTATCAAGAGAAGATGCGTGACTAGTACGCCTAATTTGCGGTATATTTCTTTCTATTATTACTCAATCAACGAAAATCAACTGGGTAAGAGAAAAAGGAACTAATCTCATTTAGCATACGTCAAGGGTTCGAATTTCAAACCGAAACTTATTAAAATAACTATGGCTTGCTTTTATGGCATTGGCAATTGAAAATTATGGACGGTGTTCCTAAAAATACATATTATCCAGTAGCATAGTATGAGAAGAAGGAGATTTTAATGAACGAGACGATACCCAAGTGCTTACTCCGTTTCGGAAAGCAACTGCAAGACAATTTCATCAATGAAAATATGTTTTAATGTTAACGTGAATAACTTTACAATGGAAATGACATTTTAAAACGATACTTTTTGTTTGGTTTCACCTAATATATAATGAGTGACATAGTATTTGCTGACCCCATACGTAACACGCGAAATGGTGTTACATTTTATTCAAACCAAAATAGATTAATCAATCTATGGTTTACGAATGTCAATTTTAGTATTTAAAAATTCTGACTCAATAAAACATTTATATATTTTTTGTTTTCGGTTCCTTCAGCTACAGATAATGACAGAAATAAAACGTGGTATTAGCATAAAACCGTAACGTACAATTGCTATATTTTTAGATATAAAAAGGTCAATTTAGATTCGAGGTTAGAGTGGTAACTGTTCCACATTATAAGTGAATCAGACTTCAAACGATTCTGTAAACATTTCAATCGCTGTTGATGGAATAAATACTGTTAACCCAATGTCTCTCCCGAAAGGTCTATCGAAGACTTTGTGTGCAATGTTTAGAACTGAAAAGATACGCAAATGTTATGGTGGGGTTAAATGCATCTAGTCTCTCTCTCAGGAATGTGAACGAATAAACAGTCGTACTTTAATGCATATTTCTAGCTTAATACTATATTTTCCTTAAATAATAAACACACAGATTTACTTGGTTAGTTGTAAAACACTTTTGTCTAAGAGAATGTACAACGTTATTTCGGTTTATGACGTGCATGAACTAGTAGTTACTTTTGAGGATTTTTCCTATTCACAAAAAACTACTTATATGTGTATGTATTCGAACATAACTAGGCGGACATTTAGAATAACGATTATCTGAAAATTAATTCAACAATTAAAAATGTTTATTTAAAAAAAGAAAGGTGAGAGTAGGTCAAAAGAAATTCTTCAAGGAATGTGTGTTGGAAGATGGAAACCTAACTCCTAACCAAGAGCTGCACTCATTCTTTTACGAAACATGTACTGCATTACAAAATACACATAAACTTGGAATTTAGTGAAGAAATAAGAGGAGTGAATCATTCGGAAAAGAGGGAAAAGATAAAAAAGAGGAGAAGTATCTTGATTAAATCTATTTAACGGATATTAAGTTATATCGAAGAACGAAGAAGTTACCAAAATATTGTTTAAGGTAGAAGTGACAAGTTTGTAAACGGAATTCTTATATACTGCAATCAGTAGAGTAAAAACAATTTTCGCAATGGATGGTACAGCATTCGCAAAATTTTAATAAAATTAGAAATCGTCAGTCAACAATAGAGAAGGACGCAGGTAATAATTTCTAATGTTGCGTAAAAGAAGTAGGATCAAACGGAGTTATTGGATATCATAAATTGCCTTTACTGAAAGAGAGCCAACATTCTGTCACAGTATTGATTGACATTTGGAAACTTTTGGACGAATGTATCAAATAATTCAAACTACATTCGAGACATTCGAGAATCATAGAATTTCAGATATCAAGATATATGAAAAGACTATTATTTGCATGATGGTAAATAATTGGATTGATAGATCGGTCATTTCGTGTTCTGAGCGAGTCAACTTTTATCCTGTCATAATTTCCGCAAGTGTAGTGCATGTTTGTATTACGGGAGTGGGCGGAGTTCTTCTCCAGCTGAATCGCGAGATCAGGCGTCAACCTACCCGACGCCATACAGGATATTCCCCAAGCAGGTAGCCCCCGCCATCGGGACACCGCCCCAGCAGGAACACGCTCTACGCTCCCAACCATTCCCACCGACATGTGAGGCAGTGTAGTGCATGTACGTGTAAGTGTGTGCGTAAGGGATGAGAATGGGACAAAGAAGAGGAAGGGAAGATCGCGCACTAGCCGTGGTCCGTTTGTTAGGGAGCTGCTCCGGTATTCGTGTAGCGTTGATCGAAAAATAATAGAAAACTACCGATCAGAGCAGCCGGTCTTTAGAATTCTCCTCCAAAAGCAGACGAATTAGACCCAGATAGTGTCCGAAAATCCATCCTTAGTCAGGACTCAAACTCTAAGACCTCGCGGTCAGAGGCGCTACGTGACATCAGTTGATGTCCTGAGCCACCTTATTGGAAATTGGGACTTCGAAAGGGGAACTCTCAAGGGCCCAGGGCAGCACCTGAAGGCTTCACGCAGCTCGTCCTCGCCGTCGGCTCCCTTCATCTTCTTGGACATCATCTGCAGGAACTCGTTGAATTCGATGGTGCCGTTCCCATCTTGATCCACTTCATTCACCATATCACGCAGCTCCGTTTCTGGGTCAGATACACAGGAAACATAAATTTGATACACTAGTGACATAATATTATTTTATAATGATAAAAAATTAAAACTAACAACATGTAGTTGACGCGAGGTACTGGAAGTAAAGTAATTTACCGCTCACTTCCAAAATTAAAATGATTAAATCGCTTAAAGCGCCCATGCATTAGACGACGTAAATATGTAAATAGTGTGATTATTATTGTAGAAATGGTACATAAATTAGCCAAGATGAGAAAAAGGTGGTTCTACAAAGGGCACAGACATTCCCGTACTAGTTTTCTATTTCCTTTCGTCACGGCAAGCTATTCGGACTTGCCTCATACTATTGCCACCATCTATCGCCGCCCAAAGTACATTTTTCCAAATTTTCTCGATTTTTCGGTTTCCTAATAATATAACGGAAATATTATTTTCAGAATATTAAACAACAGTAAAAAATCGCTCTAAATGCCATTTTCTCTGAAAAATGTGGTGCCATTTTAAAAAAAATTGGCGTTAAAGCGCTACTGGAAATTCGAAATTCGAAGCTCTTTTACACAGAAATGTTTTGATTTCTCGAAATACTTTATTGGAAGTCATTTAACGCACATCAACTCACAAATGCAAGAGAGTTTACAATAGGATGCAATAGGAAATTTGTAAAAATTTCATATTAATGGCAGGAAGAATCTTCCAAAAACTTACATTGGTATAATTTTAGAAAAAACAAAAAAGTACCAAAAATTAATTTTACGTCGTATTAAACAGTAAAATTAGCACTATCCCATCGAAGTCTGAAGACAATTTGTTTTCAAAATCTAGAAGATTTCACTCTGACCAAATGGACAGAGTTTTTTCAATTTAGAAAAAATCCTAGGCATGTTTTAGGCGCTAGTGTTGTTCATATACACCAGACAGACGGACGGTCAGACGGACTCACAAACGGACGGACGGACGGACGTTAAAAAAACACTTTTTCGGTATCAGGGGAATCCAAAATGTGAATTTCAGTTCAAATCAATTTTTCGCAGCATTACATAACTTTCCCTATACTCCGTATATACACACGTATACGGTAAAGTAAAAATGAATGAAGTAGAAATATTAACGCATTTGTTCAATCTAATCATTCAACATTCTTTTTCCATTTTTATATTCCAACGAGGGATCTCTATGGGTTATTTGCATTGTTAAATAGAATGTCTTTTGAAAAGCTAAACGAATTTATCAGGACAACTAATTTTAGCTTTTT